CGCCCTCCTGGGGGCGGGGCCTCGGGGCTGCGGCACGCCGCCCTCGCGAGCGGAGCTGGGTCGTTCGTTGGTTCGTTCGTTCCTCCATCCCGTCTTCCGACGCGCTCGGATCGCTCGTCCGCCGCCCCTGGGGTCTGCATTTCTCGTCCGCTCCCTGGCGGGCCCAGGCAGAGCCAGGGACCGACAGGAGCGCCCCGCTCCCTAGGCAGGCCCACGGGAACTGGGGGCGGGGCCGGGGAGCCAGCTCAGCTGCCCGAGCGCCGCCTGGCGAGCCGGAGCTCGTGAGTTTGATCCCCGGTACCGGAAAAAAACAATGATAATAAGATGCACCTTCGCAGAGCTGCGTGGGCGGGTGCAGGCCTCCCGCGCGTTTGCTGTGCACCTACTGTGCCCGGTTGGGTGGGCATTTCAGAGGACAGAAGAGCAAGCTGAGGCCCCCGGCCTGCAGGGGCGGAGCAGATGGTTAACCCTAGTAACCAGGCCATGGCGACATGGGTTTGCTTACCTGCAGCCTAGTTGGGAAGGTAGCAGCCTGGGGGTTAGAGGGCGAGAGACCCGCATGGGGCTTGGCCAGGACCGCCCAGGGCTAGAGGGAGGTTGGAGAAAGTTTCTCTCTAGAAGAAACTAATCCTAATTTTGAGGGGGTTTTTTAAAGCATATATAAACTTTATTAAAAACAGGCAAAATTATTTTAACATGTATATACATTTTCTTACTTTGGCACATAAAATATAGAAATATTTCCACACAAGAAATAAAGAAGACAGCAATGTTTTACAAGTAACACATTTACAAGTGCAAATTTTTACATTGCTTTGTTTGGAAGGGGGCCAGGGTGGCCTCTAACCTGCAGCGATCCTCCTGCCTCAGCCTCCTGGCTGGTGGGTTGACCGGCGAGCCCCGCCACACCCAGTAATACCTGGGTCTACGGCTGCCCCCGGGGTCGCAGCTCAGCACACCCTGTCCTGCAGGCCTTCATCGCCCGCCCGCCCCCATGGGCCCCCATCGGCTTGTGCCTAACCACCCTGGCCTGCGGCCCTCTACACCGGGGCTTCATGACATCGAGAGAGAGAGAGAGAGAGAGAGAGAGAGAGAGAGAGAGAGAGAGAGAGAGAGAGATCGGATTTCGCCCTGTGGTGACCCTCCTGCCTCAGCCTCCAAGTGCTGGGGTTACGGGCGAGCGCCACCACGCGCGGCCGCCTTAGGTGCCGAGCGCTCTGGAGCCCATGGAGGACCCTAGCGTGAGCCACGCCAGCTGGGACCAGCGGCTGCCGGCTCACCCGCAGACCCCAGGGCCCGCGGCCCTCGCTCCCGCCACAGCTCAGGCGGCTCGGCGCAGGAGCTGCAGCGCTTTCTCTTTCGCTGTTCCCTTAGCCCACGATGAGATGAGCGGGGTTTGCTTTTGGGATTCAGGGGAGGAAAAGCAACCACGTCTGCTCCCTCCCCAGGGCCAAAGCCCGCTCCTCCACATCCACGCCGGGCTAGCCGGCGGGCAGGCGCAGGGACATCTGTGTCTGGTCAGTGTGCTCACCTGCGCATGCACATGTGTGTGGTTCAGGCCCCTGGTGCAGCTAGCTCCAAGCTGCCAGGAAGGGTGTTAATTTCCTCCTTGCAACCAACTAGGGCCTGGGCTTAGTTTAGGTAAATTCTTTTTTTATTGAGGTTGTTGTTGTTTGAGACAGGGTCAGTATGTACCCTAAGGCTGGCCTAAACTCACAGAGATCCTGCTGCCTCAGCCTCCTGAGCTGGAATCACAGTTGCTGGAATCACACTGTTCCTGGCTGGGTAAACTCTTTACACTCGGGAAAGTGAGGTTCCCAGAGGTCTCAGGTCGAGGCCAGGACCAGCAGGCCTGTCAGGTGTGGGTGTGCGGGGAGTGACTGCAGATCTTATGGCACACTTACTCCCTCCTTCCTTCATTCAACAAACACTTCCCCAAACTTCCCTGGACTGGGTACTGCTGGAGCCCTAAGTGATGGCAGCTCTGGCCTCAAGGAACCAGCAACCTAGAAGAAGACAAACGGGACACGCAGATCTGGATCTGGAGGCTGTGTCTGGGAGACAAGGGCAGTGCAGCCTGGCTTTTGAAGCATGCATAGGCGATCACCAGCATTTCTTAATTTAACAGTAAACACCCCCCTGGACAAGCTTTCTGTGGTAACCCACCTCGGCCTGGCCCTGAAGATCCCTTGAGCTTGGGGAGCTAGGGCCAGATTTAGGTTCCCCTGGGAACTCCTGAAGGGCTAGAAGAAGATGGGCAGGAGACACGTGGAGTGGAGGTCTCTGGAGGGCCCGGGTCTTGTGGGTGGGGCCCAGACCGGTATGCCACAGGGCCTTGGGGGGCAGGGTCATGCAGAGCTGGGCCTGGTTGGTGTTGGCAGCCGGGGCAGGTGGGCAGGGCCTGGGGGGCCGTGGGCCCAGCCAGGTGATACTGAATGTTTCTGCTCTGAATGTCGAGGGACAGCAGGAGCGTCTGACCCTGACTCTGCTGCAGACAAGACACCAGGCTGCTTTCCACTTGGCCCTCAGTTCCCCCGGTGGGACACATGCCACAAAGTGGCCACCAGTGTGGGCAGTACGGGGTCAGGAATGGCTTCCCTGGCGTTGTCCAGGGGCTGGGGAAAGAGCAGGGCCCAGAGAGCACCTTGTTTTGTTCTGTTTTGTTCTATCTTTGTCTTTTTGAGACAGTCTCACCAGCAGTTCAGGCTGGCCTTGAGCTCACTTTGTATCCCAGGCTGGTCTCAAACTCGCAATGACCCTCCTGCCTCAGCCTCCCAAGTGCTGGGATGACAGGCGTATACCACCCTTCCCAGTTGTGAGTGCCTTATAAATACTCCCACCAACAGCTGCCGTCCATCATCCTGCCTGCTGGGGAGGCCAGGCAGGAGGATTACAAGTTCCAGGCCAGCACGAGCAACTTATAAAAACACCACCTTCAGAAGTAAGAGCAGAGACCCTGCATAGGGCATTGGATTCAACACCCAGTCCCAGAAAGCAAACGCTCGAAGTGACCCCTGGCACCATCATGGAGACTCGCACAGCTGCCTCGCTGCTCACGCCGGCAGGCAAAAACCGGGGCCAGAGAATGGGCGCGTACACAGACGCGTGCCAGGCACACGGCTCCTGGCAGCTGGTGGCTTCCCTGTTAGGGTCTGGGCTCCTGGACTCCAAAAGAAAGAACGCATTTAGGAGCAGCCCAGATCAGAACACAGCAGTGGACAGGCGTGATGGCACACGCCTGTGATCCCTGCACCCAGGAGGCTGAGGCAGGAGAATCACTGTGAGTTCGAGACCAGCCTGGGTTGCATGTTGAGACTGTCAAAAAAAACAATGAGATAGGAGGCAGGACAGAAGACTGCAGGCTGCCCTCCTTCCCTCCTTTCCTGTGGGTCCTGGGGATGGACTGCAGGGCCCAAAGCATACCAGGCGTGCCCCGCCGCACACGCGCCAGCCCAGAGAACTGGTTTTGTTCAGTTCTGCTTTTCCAGCACTGGAGCTAGAACCCAGGGCCTCCTCACTGAGCTACACCCAGCCCTCTTTATTTTTTGAGACAGGCTCTCAATAAATAGCTAAATTGGCCAGGCTGGGCTCGAGTTTATGACCCTTTTGTCTCAGCCTCCCAGAGTGATAGGATGACAGGCACGTGCCCATGCTGCTGGCTTAATTATTCTTGTGATTTACCATCTTGCCGCTGGATGGATGCCACCCTGGGCTCCAAGCCCAGGCTGCCCCAGCCGTGGCAACAGGAAGCCCTGCCTGGGTGATCCCAGCTACCCTGCGCTCTGCCTGCCTGGATGGGGGCAGGGTGGGCACCGTGTCCTGGCCAGCTGGTGTGGTAGCAGAAATGCTGGGCCAGCCAAGCAGGGGGAGGGCAGGGGGCAGCGCCCCACTGTGGAGAGGTCAGCCTTTTTGCCTCAGTTTCCTCAGCTATAAAATGGAAATGAGCTGTTCTCTCGGGATGGCACGTGCGGTGCCAGGGGAAGAACGAAGAACGCAGAGGGAGCCCTGGCTTCTTCGCTTATTTATTTTAGGTAATTTTTGTTTTGTTTGTTTTTGTCCTTTTGAGACAGATTTTCCCTATGCAGCTCTGACTGGCCTAGCATTTACTTTTTAGCCCAGGCTGCTCTCAAATTCACAAAGATCCTCCTTCCCGACACTTTATTTTTTATTCTGAGACTGGGATTCCCTACATCGCTGAGCTGCTCAGTCTGAGTTCGAACTGCACCCTTCTGTCTCAGCCTCCCAAGTGCTGGGATTACAGGTGTGCAGCACCACACCTGGCTTTTGTAGGTAATTAGTTTTGCAGGCCAGGGAGCTGAGTCCAGGTCTTTGTGAGCTGCGCCACCCAGTCCTTTTCCTTTTG